TGAAAAAGGATGCCCAGAAACACCACTGACCTCAGAAACTCAGGGTATCAGAATCAGAGCAGAAAAAAGCTCAGCATAAACCACATATTAACTTATTAATTTCAAACAGGAAGTAAACAGCCAGTGTTATGCCTTGACAGTTATCAAAGCATCTGAGGTCTCCTCAGTGGTTCAGAAATATCTCCTAGCATTTGCTTCTTATAGCCCCAAATCTCAGAAGTCTTTGGAGTTAAAAAAATAAATCCCATTTTTTTTCTGTAAGGATTATAAGATATATCTGAAAATATAAAAGCTCTTGTTTTATAACTTTTCCTGCTGAGGCATGAACAAGCATCCATTCAGTAAAGATAGGAGGGCACAGGTTATAGGCCAAAGAATTGAGTCAACCCAAGCTCAGCAAACTAATGAATTTGCTGGGATTATTTATAGAAGTATAAGTAGAAACTTTTGTCCTGCCTGGTCCCACAGCCATTCAGAAACACACAGAGACCTACATTAATTATAAACTGGTTGGCCTATTAGCTCAGTTTTATTATCAACTAGCTCTTGCAACTTAAATTAATAATTCTTGTCTATGTTTAGTCACATGGCTTGGTACCTTTTCTCAGTGCAGCATTTTTATCTTGTTTTCTTTGTGTCTAGGTGATGAATGCAGACTGAGCCTTTCTTCTTCCCAGAATTCTCCTAGTCAGGTTGCCCTATACTTCCTGCCTGGACACTGGCTAATCAGTGTTTTAATAAACTCGTATGACTGTCAAGTCTTTACTAAGTATAAGAGCATTATCCCACAGCATAGAAGCATGGTCGAAACATTCATAAGAGGAACATGAATGATTTAAAGACTGCTGAGTCACCCTAAAGCCCACCCAAACACATGATGACAAGAGCTGTATTTCTGAAGCCCCTTCAGGAGCTATAGGGGGATTAGCCCATTAGAGTCCCTTCAGCTCAGCAGTTGTTACAGCTTTAGATGACCCTGAGAAGAAACCCTGTGAATTTTGTTACTTTGTCTTTCTGACCCTTAGAAGCTTCCTTTTTCTCTCAGACCTTGTTTTGTTTACTTCCTGAGTCTCATAACCCACCTTGGTTCTCCACACACCACACCCACACCCACACCCACACGGGCACCCTTGCCCTACCCCATCCCTTCTGTGCTTGCTTTCACTTGGCTGTTCCACTCTTTGAGCTACAGTCAAAGAATTCTTTCTGAGAAGTAATCTAGAGATACTGAAGAGTCACTCAGTTTTCTTCTCTGCCGTAGTGCTCACTGTCACTTGTCATCTGAGGTCTAATATATGACACATGATATTATTTTATTTTATCTGAATTTTTGGTTGTGTGGGGATGATAGGATAATCTTGCTTAGTGTTGAAGTGCCAAGCACCTTCCTCCTTCCAGACACTACTTTCAGATAGATACTTTAACATTGTTATCGTGCACATGACGATGAAATAATTTCGAAACTAAGACCAACTCTACAACTTTAACCTAAGTCACTCAGTATTTCCAGCCTGAAAGTCTTGTTTCCTTATGGCTCCTGGGCTTGGAATAAGTCAGTAATTCTCAGTTCTGTTTTATCCCCAGCATATCTCAGAGACTCCCTATGAGGTCTTCCGAGGGGCATGGGAAGAGTGGGTTGGTGCCCTTTCTTTAGAGGATGAGATAAAGGAGGTGGTGTAGAATAAAGGTCTTTGTTGGGATATACCTATTCCTCAGCTGACATTCTGGAGTAGATGAGCCAATTCTACAAAGATCTGCTGAGAAATATGTGTAACCATGTTGAGTTCTATGGCAGGGGCTAATATTAGTAAGACTAGTTTGAATAAATCTTAATAGTATAAAATGTTTAGTGATGGTGTCGAGGATTATGCTAAAAATAGTCTAAAGAGTGCAACAGTGGAGATAATGTGGAATTGCCATCAAAATGCTAGGATACATTGAATTATAACATTTCTTTCTAAGATCGCACATGTTTTAAAGCACAGAAATTCAAGAATACGTGATGTGGCATATTGCATTGGCAATTTAATTCTGGAAGCAATCCTTAGATCTCTGGAAACTGGTAGGCAATTCAATCCACAGAAAATGATTATAGGTCTTTTTGTGTTTTACAAATTTATTTTCAAGATAATTCTAAACTATGCAAACTGTTCTAAATATATCAGAAGACCCATATATCAGCTTAGTAAAAATTCATAGTCAATGGTATTTATCCATAATTCATTGGCTACAAATAGGAGCTAATTTGTGTGTGTTATGCTTTAGAGACAGTTAAACACTGACATCACTTTTTCTGCAGTGAGCTAGAATGCCCAGTAATTTTCCCACTTAGTAGACTTTTTCATTTCTTACCTACTCAGTCTAATATAATTAATGCATTTATGGATTAAGTGCCTCAGACTGTGAAACAGTTGGCCCAGAAATCCCACTAATCACTAATTACTGTCGATTCTTTGGAAAATCATGTTCAGTGTGCAGACCCAGGACTTTCTACTCTAGTTAAAGGCTTTCTGAGTGGGATGTGCAGAACTTCAGCCAATCTACACAAGCTGATGCTGGCACAGCTAAGTGGCACCGCGATTTAATCAAAGTGTGCATCACCAAGGACTCACGGATTAAAACACATGCTCTGGATGGGAATGAAAAGAATTGTTTAAGTGCGAGCTAGCAACAGACTGGGCTTGCTGGCTAACCCAAGCTCACATGGCTACCGCTCCACTCTCCCAAGCTTTACTATAAAAGCATAGGGTTTCCTCTGTGCCTTGAGTTGTGTTTCACGTTTTTCCAACTGTTCTTTATTAATAAGACTATTACCCAATAAAAGAGAACAGAGATAAGATTCTCAAGAGAAACATGGCCAATTTTATACTGTGACCATGGGTAAAATGGAATTGTGTCCCTGGTACATACTCTCCTATGGCCAGAAGATAATGGCCTCTCCTCTATGTGCCCCAATTACTTAGAGAAGTTCTCCTCTCAGCCACTATAGAGTCTTGTTTAATAGTTCCAGGGCAAGCTTGACTTTTTAACTAACTACTAGTTTAATTCTGATGAAAGTGACCATAGATTGTTTCTTAAGAAAAAATGGAAGTGAACTTCATTTTTCAAATTCTCACTGCTCTGTGTAACTTTGTTCAAAATTTAAATGTTTTCCTATGTTTAAAAACTAATACATACAGATATTGTTATTATCACTATTATAAATTATTTAAAATAAAACATCTTTCTCCTGTCCCTCATCTACATGCTTTATCACTAAAAGAATCTATTCAATTTAAAATTTCTGTACCTGTCACATCCTCAGAATGAAATTCATATGCCAGCAAATGCTCCCAAGAAAGCAAGAGAGATTCAATTTTTTTTAAATTCTTAACACTCTACCAAAATGCATATGCCCTACCCTTCTGGATGCCATAGAGCAACATCCTACCCTAAGAGATGTTTCTGGGCTCCCCCGCCCCATGGCAGCAGTGGGAGGTGTCTGATTAGCACATGAAATAGTGACTGACCCTGAGAAGCAACTATTGTAAAATCCATGTGATTTAGGAGCCAATTGCTGTGTCACATGAGACCATGAAGAGCTGTTTGGTATGTGCAGCCTATGGCAACTCTTTTTGACATCTCTTGTTGCCTTTCCTCTATCTATCATTTCTTCACTCCACATTCCCATGGTGAAGAGTTAATTATCAAGACACGGTTGGTATATGCGTTCCCATTCCCTTAGGTTCCAGCATTAGATCAGTAGTGGAGGAAAAGACACTGCAGGTCCAGTATCTCCTTGTACTAAGCTCCACCCTCCCAATAGCTTTATGAGCAACAAAGATATGTCTTAAAATTCCATATACCTGTATCTTTTTCTCTTGCTCAAAGCTTCGGAACTTCTATAATATTCTAGTTGTGTTTCTATTGCTGTCGTGAAACACCCCGGCATAAAGCAACTTATGGAAGGAAGAGTTTATCTTAGCTCACAATTCCAGGGTACAGTCCAGCATACCAGGGAACTGAAGGTGACAGGAGCTTAAAATAGCTGGCAACATCACCTCCACCATCAAAACCAGCAAATGCGTGCATGCAAGTTTCTGCATAGCCTTCCTTCAGCACTCTCCTATAGCTCAGGGCTGCAAGCACAGGCAATTTTGCTGCCCACATTCAGGGTGAAACTTCCCCCACAAATTAACCAAACTAAGGCATCCCTTCACAGATGTGTCCACAGGAAAACCTGACCTAGGCAATCCTTCACATCAAATTGATAATTAAAAATATACACTACATATATAAAGAGTCTGTTATATTTATTGAAGCCCGTCATGTAGATTCCAGTGTTCATGACACTGGAACCTAATAGTACATTTTTTCTATCAGTCTTTACATGAGCCTTTCTGTTGGTCAATTCTATTTCATGAACTTATAAACAGTCACCAAATTTTCCCGCAACTCAAGAAATGTAGAAATTACTTGAATTCCCAGTGAAAGAGAATATTTGAACACAGAAACACTCTAAATTACTGGGTAATTATGCCAACTCTGTACTCATTCTCCTCTGGCAATTTAAACCATGGTTCAGAACTCACGTCAATGCTATACTGGCAACCCAAGATGTAAAGAAGCTACCCAGATCATTCTATTTTATCTGTGGGATATTCTCATAAACCAACTCCAGAATGATGAGTCCAGAGCTGTGCAGTTTTGAAAGGAGACAAACATATACCAAAGAAATCCCAGACTGCTATGCTACTTGAACACATGAAAAGAGATTTCACGCGTGTGAACTATGAGAGCTCTTCTTAACCTTTGTCCCCTTGCTCCAGCCTTCCCTTTGCACAAAAGCTTTCATCTCATCCAGCCCAGAACCTTCTCTTTGGTACCATTCTACCTGAGCCCTCACCTCATGATCCCTTTCATGTCACATACTTTTCAGAAAATGCCCCTGGCAGCTTATCCATCCCCACCAAGATGTCCACTGTGAGATGTGCTTGATTTCCCTCCAGGATTGCATTACCCTTTGCTCTTCTCCAGCTGGTTGCAGGAAAGTGAGGTAGATGCTCAGCAGGCAGTATCACGTGATTTTCCTTCCATCATGTGTATGGGAAAATGGCAGTACTGTTGGGAGGGTGGCAAAGGAGAGCAAGAGAAAACGGTGATCTCCAGACTTAAATAATTTTGTGTTTTATCACCTCAGTATAATGTAAAATTTCCAGAAAATGGTCTATAAGTAGCATATTAGCATAGCTCTCCACAGTCACTGCAAAGATTTTGTGTGTTGGCATTTTTATGTTTAATGCTCATTTTGGTGATGCTCACATACTTCACCAGGCTTTTAAACAACTGTTTATTCCTACGCCCTTAGAGTCTGTGGGAGGAGAGGCAGGCAAAGACCCATGCCCTGGGCCTGGGAGATACAGAGCTCATGCGGCAGTGACATGGCATACAGACTAGATGTGGATCATTACTTTTCATATCATCTGCAGATGGCCTCGGAGCCTGATGTCCCATCACACGTGCAGGTTCTGATGATACAGAGTGCAGCCTGCATGTCTACCAATGTCTCCCTCCTTACATGGTCTGGCTGGTCTGAATTTTTTTTTAAGGCAGGAAAAATATTTAATATCCTTTCTGAATATGTCCCCCAAAGCAGCTAGAACACTGGAGAGAATTGCTGTGGGACAATGGTCTGTACCATATCAATTGTATCTTAATAAAATGCTGATTGGTCAGTAGCCAGGCAGGAAGTATGGTGGGGCAACCAGGCAGGAAGTAGAGGCAGGGCAATGAAAACAGGAGAATTCTGGGAACAGGAAAGAGTCAGTCTGCAATCATCATCCAGAAACAGAGGAAGACAGACACAGAGCAAACAACATGTGACTGCCTCACTGAAAAAGGTACCAAGCCACGTGGCTAACACAGACAAGAATTATGGGCTATTATAAGTTATAAGAGTAAAGAAGAAGCCTGAGCTAATAGGCCAATCAGTTTATAATTAATGCAGGCCTCTGTGGATTTCTTTGGGACTGAATGATTGCAGGACCAGGTGGGACAGAAACCTCAGTCAACAGAGGATTCTTCTGTCATTTGAACATCAATCAGTTTCATGGTTGGAAGCCAAACAGTTCCACCAAGAAAATTTTTTACTGTACGACAGGATGCCTGACTATCCTCTCACTGTTAAGAAGGGGAAGCAGACTCCATTCCTGTTCGGTTGTGTTGCCTTCCGCAACTATTCCTCTCCTGCTCTGTGTTGGTAAGGATCAAAAAAGACTATTGGTCATGCCCAAAGATACTGGTGGCCTACTTAGGGCTCAAATGTTGCCTTGTCCTTTTCTACTTAGGCCCAAAAGGCCTAAATCTCCCCTGAAATATAACAAGAAAATGAATACTATACATAAAACCTGGTTTTTAATTCCTGAAAAATGGATCTATTGACTGACCTGCTCAATTTATTATCTGAATTGTAAGCCCAGGCTTGCAATTAGACACTTTGTTGATGAGTTTCCCTATGATAAGATTAATTTCATAGCAAATTTGTGTTGGGTAGTTACATTAACCAAATTTAAGGTGAAAATTTGGAAAAGAGCCATCCTATATGTGAGACATTGAGAGAATGCTTAAAATTTAGACAAAAGTTGTGATGACCATTGTTAAGGCCATGGCATCTATGCAAACTCTCCCTTTGAAATAGATCATGAATGAGAGTTTTGCATATTCATGAAACCAGGTTGCAACAGAAGATATGTCTTACTGAGGGCGTTTTGTTTCAATAAATCAAAATAGGGCTTAGTATCAAAAATAAAACTTAGTATTTTGTGTTTATATATCAATATTAGGCTTGGGCTTTGTGGAATAAAGCTGCTCCCCCCCCTAATATTTTAAAGGGTTCTAGTGATTTTCTGTTCTTGATGTTATTTGCCAAGATATGATGGAGGTCTTCTCTGGGAGCTTTGGTACACCAGATGTAGGAGATTCCCCCTTAATCTGTGTCTCAAACAACCCTGCCTGCCCAGACAACTGAGTAACTTACATCCTAATCCTTCCATATAAATTTTACTTGACATTTTTCAAAAACTGGGATTTACAACCTTACTTCCCCTCTTTGCCACAGAGCAGACAGGTTTGAAGAATATATTTTCTCTCTCACTCTCTCTTCTCTCTCTCTCTCTCTCTCTCTCTCTCTCTCTCTCTCTCTCTCTCTCTCTCTCTCCCCCTCACCCTGTCTCTCTCTCAAGAATATTATATGCAAGAATGTAATTTGAGGGCATGAAGAGATGACTCAGCAGCTAAAAGTACTGGCTACTCTTCCAGAGGACTTGGGTTCACTTCCAGCACCCACATGGCAGCTCATAATGGCCTGTGACTCTTGTTCCAGAAAATCAGACATTTTCTTAGACATGCATGCAGGCAAAACACCTATACACAAAAAGTAAATAAGACAAAATTTAAAAAAAATGTAATTTGAAGAAGCTCACCTGGATGGTATGACAGTGATGCTGGGGGGCGGGGATGTGAGGGGGTTTGGAAGTAAAGAGGACCAGTGTGGTCTTGGCAATGGTGTTCAGAGTTGAGGGGAAATGGTTTCAAGGGCTGAGTGTGGTGATGCAATTATAGACACAGATCATGTACTCTGAAAAAAAACAGGAAGAAAGGATTCATTCAAATTGTTGACATAAACAAATGAACAGAGACATTTAACCTGATATAAACATAACCTTCTCTCTCTCTCTGTGTGTGTGTGTGTGTGTAAGCATCATCTGGCACCCAAAAAACAAACGCAAATTTAATGTTTTCAGGGATAAGAAGAGTAACTATAATTTATGTTTTAAAAGACTGAGAAAGAGCATCTAGTCTAAAGGGGAGAAGAAGAAAGAAATTCAGGTCTGGAGTGATGGATCAGCAGTTAAGAGCACTGACTACTATTCCAGGGGATCCAGGTTCAATTCCCAGCACCCACATGGAAGCTCACAACTGTCTGTAACTCCAGGATCCACAACCCTCACACAGACATACATATAGGCAAAAAACCAATAAAGTAAAAATAAATTCATAAAAGAAAGAAATCCACCGTGATAAAAAAAAAAGATGTATTGACATCGTACTATGGTATGTACACTAGTGCTCTCTGTACTACCTACAAAAGTGTTCATTAAAATCTGCCTGTGGCTTTGGTGCCTCAGAATTTAGGTATAGGTTGTGGGTATAGGAGGAAAAGGTATACTACTGTTGTTGCTGAGAGCAGACTTAGGGTAGGACTAAGGCTGAATAAAGTACTGTGTGACGACACCCAGTAGTGGTCCATGCCCACTGCCACTGTATTTATGTCTGTCTATCTATCCATGCATATATCTGTTTGTTCATCTATTTATCATTTATCTATCTTGTAATTGGGAAAGAAAAATAAAACTGTGAAAACTGAGCTATAATCACATTTTTCCTACCATTTACGTAGCCTTTCAAAATAAGGTTCTTACAGCAGTGAACATTAACCCATCAAGCCATGATTTACTTGTATTCAAACAACGGCTGTAATTTCTGACTTGATTGATGGAATCATGTGTTCTATATCACCCACCCAAAAATATGGACAAAGGCTGAGAAGCTTGTCTTGTTACGAGCTACATCCCTCCCTTCGTCTCCTGGATACCGCTTCCCCTGCCTAAACATTTTGGCCCTTTCATCAACACAACACAGTCCAGGGTGCAGTCTCCCAAGAAATGACAAAGATTCAGTTAAAGCTTATAGACACTGCACAGGCTCAAATTTCAAATGTTTGTATATAAATCAATTATTTTCAACCTTGGCAGCCTTTTCCCCCATTGAAGCTATGTTATAAATGTGTAGGCAACTTCATAAATCTTTGATCTAAACAATCTTTAAAATACATTCTCTTTACCTAGTAGAATGGATTTTTCTCTTCTTTTGAGCTTGGCATATATTTTGCTAGGTCAATAGGATTGAGCCTTTGGTATTATAACTCAATCTATGGAAGGAGATGTTATTTGATAAATAAACTGGGATTGGTACAATGAAAATTCGCACACTAGAAGCGGTGTAGGACCTTTTCTACATAATCCATCTTGGAGGATAGATTAGACCATAGTGAGATCTTTTTCATGCCCCACTTCCCTTCACATACAACTGTGTGCAGGCTAAACACAAATGCAGGATGTTGAATGAAAGCAAGGTAGCAATATTGAGAAATGAGTAATGGAGAAGAGGAATGCTCGAGGAAGAAGATAGTTGATACTATTGTTAAGTGTTGCTCGTGTGCCTGTGAGCTACTGATGGTCAGCAGAGTTAAAGGATAGTACTGTACAATCCCCCTCAGAATAGTAGAAAGGTACTAAGAAAATATATTTCACCCTGGGGCTTCTCTGGAGCTTCCATACCTGGGTGAGGGAGGTCTTATGTGTTTGCTCCATATAGAGGAGTGACACTCTGAACCCTTTAGTTCAGACAGAAGCACTGAAGAATTAACAGCAAAGAGTAATCATGGACAGAGGAGATTAATAGGGATATGTAGCAGCAGTCGGAATCATACAGTTTATATAAAATTAACTCCAAGGAGCATTTTGGTGTTTCCCACTGTGTAGACTCCCTAAACTAGGCTTCATGAAAAAATATAGAGAAAACTCCTGAGGTTCTGATTCATCTAAAATCATGTCTGACAGATGAACTGCAGACATTTTCCAATGAGGGCCCCAAGAACTTTTAGGGTTATATAAAAATCACCTATACCTATCAGCAGTTTCATTTGCCAGATTTAAGAAACTCAGAGCAGTTTGGTTATAAAATTAACTCTATAAATACAGCTTAGGACATATCCCGACAACTGTTCATTACAGTTCTTGACACTGATACTCTTCGGGGCCCTTCTGTAAGTGAAAAACAGATGGCAGAATTAGAGGTATGAGGGTTTATAATTCCTGTCAAAGTAAGGGAAAACTACTGAGGAAACATACTTAGCCCCGGGGCTTCTCTGCAGCTAAGTTTCCAGACTTCTTTGTTTTTTATTGAAAAAAAATTCCTGCCTCCTCCCAGCCTCCCATTTCCCTCCCCCTCCTCCCACTCCTCTCCCCCTCCCTCTCCAGTCCGAAGAGCAGTCAGGGTTCCCTGCCCTGTGGAAAGTCCAGGGTCCTCTCCCCTCCATCCAGGTCTAGGAAGGTGAACATCCAAACTGGCTAGGCTCCCACAAAGCCAGAACATGAAGTAGGAACAAAACCCCATGCCATTGTCCTTGGCTTCTCATCAGCCCTCATTGTCCACCATGTTCAGAGAGTCTGGTTTTATCCCATGCTTTTTCAGTCACAGTCCAGCTGGCCTTGGTTAGCTCCCAATAGATCAGCCCCACTGTCTCAGTGGATGGGTGCACCTCTCATGGTCCTGACTTCCATGCTCATGTTCTCCCTCCTTCTGATCCTCCTTGGGACTTTGGGAGCTTAGTCCGATGCTCCAGTGTGGGTCTCTGTCTCTATCTCTATCCATCGCTAGATGAAGGTTCTATGGTGATATGCAAGATATTCATCAGTATGGCTATAGGATAGGGTCATTTCAGGTTCCCTATCCTCAGCTGCCCAAGGAACTAACTGGGGACATTGCCTTTCCAGACTTCTTAACTCTAGAACTTCTTAACCTTTTGGCAAAAGGGGAGGCTGAAGGAGAAAGAACTGCCCTAAAAGCTTTGATCACACTAAATCCAAATGTGAAGAGATTGCCTTTTCTCTTTTTCTATCTCACCCCTCTCTCTCTCTTTCTCTCTCTTTCTCTCTCTCTCTCTCTCTCTCTCTCTCTCTCTCTCTCTCTCTCTCTCTCTCTTTTGGTAATTTACACATGAGAGGAATGCTATTTTCAGCTAAATATTTGGTTTACATTAAGACGACCCCAGATCTGGGTGTTGGTGTCCTGGAGACCACATACAATGTTTCCAAACCATGCTCCTGAGGAAGATGAAAATAAGGTACAAATTTGTGAAAACAGCCGAAAATCAGCTCAATCTGACTTCAGCTGTAAGAATGCCAATAATACCCTCATGTATAAAGGATCAGTTTCTCATCAGTCCAAAGTCATTGTTTGCCTCAATACCTTTATTCAATACTTATCCCACCTAACCTTGGGAAGCCCCATGATTTCCCAGAAAGACAATGTCTTGCCACTGGTCATCAGTCTCTCATTATCTGAGAGCCTTTCCTCTGGCCAAGTCTCAGGTCACCACTGGGGCATAAAGTGTAGCATCTCTGAGACCTAAGTAAGGGACATCATTGGACTCTTTATTTCTCAGGCATGAGGCTCTCCCAAAGTTACTGTACTTGTTTTTACTAGAGGATTGGGAATAATGGATTGAAATTAAAACACAGAAAAATAATTTAAAGTCAAATATCAATATCATTGTCCTTTATGCTGGAGTCCTGGAGAGCAGAATCAAACACAGAATTTAGTGTGCAAGATGGAGTGCTCTTGTGACCCAAGCTGGGGAAAGATGTAGTAATAGGAGCAGCGAGGTTGCGTTCCGGCCTCTCCGGCTCACACATGGCTAGCTTATGCCCCGAAATAATTACACGGAAATTGTATTCTTTTAAACACTGCCTGGCCCATTAGTTCCAGCCTCTTATTGGCTAGCTCTTACATATTGATCTAACCCATTTCTAATAATCTGTGTAGCCCACGAGGTGGCTTACCAGGGAAGATCTTAACCTGCGGCTGTGTCGGGTGGGAGAATCATGGCGACTGCCTGACTCAGCTTTTTTCTCCCAGCCTTCTGTTCTGTTTACTCCACCCACCTAAGGGTTGGCCTATCAAATGGGCCAAGGCAGTTTCTTTATTAATTAACCAATGAAAGCAACAGATTAGAAAGAAATCACTCCCACATCAGAAAGAAAGATAACAAGCCAAATATATAGCCTAAACCATACTTGATCTTTTATAAAAGGAAACCAATTCTTGCTAGAGTAGCTTCATGGAATAACTGAGAAGATATCACTATGTTAGCTGAAATAAGTCAGAGGCAAATCAACACTTGCTGCACAATCTCATCCACATGTGGAATGCCAAAAAGTTAAACTCCTAGTAGTTCCCAGGAGCTGGGCTTTCAGGACAAACATAAGAACGTCCACTAAGCAGACAAAGTTTAGTTTTAACCTCTAGAGAGATATGTACAGGATGATGTACAGTATACTGAAAATGCAGTAAGATTATTCTGCATACTTAAAATGTATATTTTCTCTAGCACGCCTAAGGATGAGTCCATAATATAATTGCAGGTTAATTAGTGTCGCTGGAGAATCATTTCACAATGCATGCTTTTACTGCAAGATTGCGTCATACACCTTAAATATAACAAAGGCTGATAATACCTCAATCAAAAAGTAATTCTTTGGATTTAAGGGAGGGTGGCAAGGAAGGAGAGTGACTAAGAACAAAATGTAATTGCATACATGTATGAAAATGTGGTAATGAAACGCATTATTTGAATGCTGCTAGGTTAAAATAATTTAAAATGAAATTTTTAAAAATTAAAAATTTAGTTTTCCTTGATGATACATTTTATTACTGATTCTTTACTTACACTGAAATAGTGCTTGCTTTGCCTACACTAAATTATAAATAGAAACAATGGGTCAAGAAGGAGTC